AAACATTGTCTTCAAGTTGTTCCATGTGGTGATGCTCCCAGAAGGTAGATAGTATAGCCAATCCTTCGCTGAATCTTTCAAAGAAAATGGGAAGGCTCTCAACTTGATTTGTTCTTCAGTAACCCCTGTGGGTTTCATACTTGAACACACCACATGGAATTCCTTCAAGTGTTTGTGAGGGTCTTCACCTGCAAGTCCATGAAAAGAAGGCAGAAGATGAATTAATCCAGATTTTAATTCAAATTGGACATTAGCATCCAGAGCAGGGAAAGTGATGCATAATGGTTGTTGATCTAAATTTGGAGCTCCAAGCTCTTTTAAGGTCCGATTTTGAGCCATGGGTTCCCCTTCTAAATCAGAGTTGGCAGAATCGGTAACCAGATCACTAAACTCTAATTTCCTCAAAGCTTGTTTCCTCCACCTGCGTACAGTTCTTTCAATTTCTGGATTGTATGGCAAGACTTCTTTGTTAGCAGATCGAGTTATAGGCATAACCCGTTAAAGATAGTGTAGCAATTATGTAAAAGTAACGAAAGAAAAGAAAATTATATTTTTGATGATTTTTTTGGGACAAATTAAAAACAAATAAACAAATAACAAAATAAATAATTAAATAAATAAACAAACACAAAATAAGCTAGAAAATCTCCCCGGCAACGGCGCCAAAATTTGGTGAGCTGTCGTAGGCTCCCAAATTAAAACCTTACAAACGTAGTAGCGGGAGTAAGGATCGATCCCACGAGGAGTAACTAGTTTAACTTTTGTGCTCAAATTAAAGGTAGGGGGGTTTGGAATATATCGAGAATAAAGATAAAATAAAAGAGAATTTAAATAAACAAGAAATTTAATTGAACGAATAAAGCAATGAAAATGATATATCGAAAATACTTATAATAAGGAACCTTGGTTAGTAAAGATCCACCACCGGAATTCAACACTGATCATTGATTAATAAAGTAATTAATATGCAATTGAATATTTGTCGTGAAATTATTTCATTTCTGTTTTCCCTTAGTTGTAGGTAAATAAAGCACAAGCGGTTTAATTACCCCTAACTACTAAATAACCTAAGACAAGCGCTATAGATTTAATTTAATAGCAGCAATAGGAACTAGGAAAACCGACAAACTAAATAACACAAGCACAAGCGGTTGCATTTAATTTAGGAAAATATTCTTCCCGAGTCCAATTATCACTAAGCCGTCAATAATTAACCCAGTTGCTACTGAATATTAGAATAATTTGTAGCACAACATTATCTAATATAGCAAATAATTATATCAAATAAATAACTAGTAGGCCTCCCTAGCAATTAATTGACACAATTATTTCAAATAACTTAGAAGAATATTTAATACTCAAATGCATAAAAAATATATAATAAAAATAAATAAATAACCTTACAGCGTAATGAACTCCGGGGCTTCAATTCACTAAACCAAACAAGAAATTAGCCGCGAATGGGCATTGATAACAACCTTAAAGAATATTCGAGAGGGGAAGAATGAACGAAGAATGAATAAAATGTTCTACTATTTATACACTTCCTAAATTATTTTCAGACTAATTTCGACCATGCAATTCCTATTATTTCGTCAAGCTATGAATTCTTCCACGATCTTCGTTCTTCGTCGACAATTGCGTAGCCTTTTGATGAAGCTTTGCTGCACGTTTTGTACCTAAGAAAAGAAACAAAAGCAATTTTAAATGTTTAATTTATTATGTCTTTTCTAACAATTTAGGTGGGTTGGGCGTTAGTGTTATAGGATTAGGATAGGAAATGGATTAGCTAATCATACTAAAGTAAAATATATATATATATATATATATATATATATATATATATATATATATATATATATATATATATTATAGTACGTAATAAATATATATATTAGTATTCTATATATTATTTATTATATATATTATATATTATATATAAAAATAACTAATTATTAGATAATATTAAATAATTAATGCAAAATTATTATAAAGATGTACCTAAAATATGAGCGTAAAATATGCCCATCATGTACTATGAAATCAGTGGCTTTGTTGGAGGGACTGTTGGAGGGGGAACGACGGTTCCCGGGGGAATAAGGTTGGACTTGGTGTACAGGGGTCCTGGAGGTAAAGGTTGGAACTAGATATAAGGTTGGGGTAGCCATAAGGTTGGAACAGGGCATAAGGAAGGCATATCAACTCGTGATGAGTGATGGCACGAGGGCTTGTGTAGCCGTGGTTGTGTGTTCTCTTCTTGTGACGTGTGTAGTCACAAAGGCATGTGTTGCCTAGGCATGTGTTGCCGGTTGTCGTGTCTTTATCCTTTGTGTTGTGGTTGTCCGTTGCAGTTTTGGGATGTGTTCCCGTATCCTTGTTGAGAGTGTTGAGTCTTGTGTTGACTATTGCTCCTGGTTTTGTACTTGTATATTTATGTATTCCGTTTCGAAAATGGCTTTATAACTTATATCTATCTATGTATGATATTTCACATGTATTGGTGGGTTACCAGCATTATTCGCTGACCGGGCGTCACCCCATGTTTTGTTGTGTTCTTTCAGGTGATGTCTAGACAAGTGCGCTGTCTAGTGCCCGATAGCATAGCTCCTTCCATTTGTTTTATGGCCTGTGTGCCGATCTAGTTGTAGACTTGTGAGATTTGGGATAGTTGTGAACCATGCAGATTTTGCCGTAGCGTTCATCTTTGTTGGTGAACGTGGCATAACACCCCATGACTTGGATTTATGTTTATCCAGTTATCTTTTAATCTTCCGCTGTGCTAGTTGTTTAGTTGTGTTATCTGCATGTGTTAAGGCTTTTTATAGCATGTGTTTTGGGGGGGTGTTACAGTGTGAGTTTTTCAAAAATCGTAGACGAATCTATTCAACCCCCCCCCCCCCCCCCCCCCCTTCTAGATTCGTCATGTTATCGTATCGGGGCCAACATTTGGTAAAATTAGTTTTTTGATAAGCTGATAAATGTAAAAAGATTTCATAAAATTTAAATAGTTATAAATTTAAATAGGTTTGTTTACATATTAAATAGACCTACAAGTAAAATTAAAAAAACCATGTATGAGGAAACGCTCTCTTCGCGAAGGAACCAGGAGGAGCAAGATTTACTCGAATGGAGCACGAAGAAGATGAAGACTTCGGAAGGTATGCCACCTTTTGCCCAAACCCTCCTTCTACGGGGGAGAGAGGCCAGAAGTATGACTCAAGAAGAGTTCGCCGAGGCTTCATACATGCATGCACTGGCCGGGGAAACAGGAAATAAAAGGTAAGAAAAAAGTTGAAATCGAAATGGCATCCAATGATGAAGACGTTGAAATGGAAGAAGAGGTCGATAAGGAGTGTCCAGTCATTAGGTTTACAAAAAAGGAAAAGGCAAGGCTCAGGTCACCATGGAGGCAAACGTTGATAGTTAAAGTTCTCGATCATACGGTTTGGTATACGTATCTTTAGAAAAGATTGGAGGCGATTTGGCACTCGAAGGCTAGAATGGAACTGGTAACTCTCGAAAATGACTATTACTTAAGTTCTATTCCATTGATGATTATGAGTTTTCCAAATTTGGTGGCCCCTGGATGATGATGATGGATCACTATCTCATTATGAAAGAGTGGGTGCCAAATTTCGATCCCTTTACATATGACTTTCTAATGAGGGTGGCTGAGAAGGTAGGTCATCTAATCACCATTGATTAGCAGGCGAACAGTGGACACATTGAAAATTATTCTGGAAGAAATCAAAGCTATTGATGGAGAGGGAAACGTCCGGCAGTCCAAATCAACGAGAAGCATATTGAAGGGAGCAATTTGCATGGAAAACACAGAGCAAACTAGACATAGACGAGGAAACATAAAGACAAAGGCGACAAAAAGTGACGAACATGTGGTTGCACAAGGAAACGATGAGAATATAGATTGTGTTGTATTCAATGATGATGTCGGGAGCATATATATAGATACTAGATAGAATCCTAGTCTAACACGAATAATATAGAATCCTGTCGAGCGGAAATGAGCGAAACTAAAGTTTATTGCGATTATATGGACGCAACACAGGAAAGCACAGGCAACCAAAAACGCGCAAGTAAGAGTAGGACGGAGGAGATCGGTGTAGGCGAAAGTGTGGTGTTTCATCAGATAAGACACGAGTAGGCATTTTGTTGATAAGGTAGACAGCAGTCTCAAACGCGTAGTCCCGAAAACGAGACAGAACAGATGCTTGAGCTATTAAAGATAGACCCGACTCAACAACATGACGGTGCCTATGCTCTACCCGACCATTTTGCTCGTGGGTATGCGCACACGATTGCTTGTGACGAATACCTAGAGAAGCAAGAGTGAAACCAAGCTTTTTATATATTCTCCCCCTAAATCAGACTGAAAAGAAATAATCTTGCGAGAAAAGGAACGTTCAACTTGTGACTGAAACTTGTCAAATGTGCCATATAATTCAGATTTAGCACGTATTGGATAATACCACATGTAACGAGTATAATCATCCACAAACAATACAAAATATTTGAAGCCATTTGCAGAAAGTAACAGCGCAGGGCCCCAAATATCAGAATATATTAATTCTAAAGGATGCGTACTAGTAGTTTCAACACGAGATAATGGAAAACGAGATGATTTTCCCAATTGACAAGAAGAACAAACATTGGGAAGATCTTTAGAATTAAAATGACTAATAGACGAAGACTCCAAAATTTTACGTAAGACTCTAGAATGCGGATGCCCCAACCGCATATGCCAGACAAAAGAGGAATGCGCAGCAACGAACGCAGCTAGAGCAGGAGAGGACGCAGGCCAGGAGTACAGGCCATCAGATGCATGCCCTTTAAATAGGACTTTCTTGGTCAAAATATCTTTCACAAAGAAACAAAGTGGGTGAAACTCGAAGTAAACATTATTATCTTTGGCAAAATGATGGACAGATAATAATGAACTAGAAAGATCAGGAACATGCAAAACATCATTTAACTTAAAAAACCTAGGCTAACGAAGCTAAACCAACATTAACAATAGGCAAACCTGTACCACTACCAACACGAAGAGTCTCAGGGCCATCATAACCCGTTGCAGAGGTCAACAAAGAAGGATCGGGCGTAGCATGGTTGGTAGCACCAGTATCAGGAAACCACTCATGTGGACCACCCGAGTCATCACCAGAAACAGCTACATTCGCCTAAGGAGCCGGGGAGGGTGAAAAACGTTGAGAACCCGGAGCCCCTAAATAACGCCAAAAACAATAGGCTCCCGTGTGACCGAAACATTTACAAATTTGACATGGTTCATCATAGAACCATAAACAATTAGCTCCTGTGTGACCGAAACCTTTACAAATTTGACACGGTTCATTAAAGTCACGTCGAAATGCAGGAACCGTCGTTCCGGTTCTGGTTCGAAACCAAATATATATATATATATATATATATATATATATATATATATATATATATATATATATATATATATATATATATATATATATATATATATAAAGCATAGTTGTAGGCTGCAGCCTGCAGCATACTGTCGCAGTGGGCAGTGGGACAGGTGACTGGCGCAAAGGCCAAACTTTGGCCAGCTTGGCCTTTGGCCTTTGCGCCAAGACTCGGCTTTGAATCTTGTCAACAGTGTTGACAAGACTCAAAGCTGAGTCTTTGTCACTCCATGAGGACTTTGAGTCTAAGTTGACTCAATTATATTGACTTATTCATGTCAATTTTTCACTTTGTCAGAGATTTCCTGGTTTGAAGCGTATAACACTATAACATTCTTTTGTGTTTACGCCAAAAATTTTGGATTTTTTTTTAAAATAATCATTGGAAAACAGTCATTTAAAAAAAAAAAATTGAAGTCTTCACGGTTCACTCTTCAGACTTCACCTCCCATTCTTTTATTTTTCAATCTATAAATGCATGATTTCAACAAATATTTTTTTACCCAACTCTCACAATCTTAGTATCTCTCTCTCACTAAAGTCTCTCAAAGTCCCAATACTCTAAATTCTGAATTCCCATTCTCTTATTTTATCATTCTCTGAAATTTGAATACTTGCCTACATTCCCTACAATTCTCAATACTTTCTTTCTCTGAACTCTCATTATTTATCTCTACATTTTTTATCTCTAAATTTCTACTTCTACCCGTTTTAATTTTTTACATGAGAAAATTACACTTTTGGTTCTATAACTATTGAGGTCTTGTTAATTTTAATACTCAACTTTAAAAATAAACAATTTAGTCCCGTAACTATGCATTTTTTTAACAGATTTGGTCCACCCGGCCAAATGTGATAGGAAAAACGTAAATGTTTTCAAATTTTTTATTAATGGGGTCAAAACTGTCATTTTACGTTAAATTAAAAAAAAAAAAAAAAAAAAAAAGAGAAAGTTATTTGCTTCCTTCTTCACAATTCATCTCGCTGCCGGAAGGGGAAAGCAGTGAGTGTTTCGCCAGGGAAAAAAATTGCTTCATCTCGCTGCCTGAAGGGGGGAGGGAGGGGGGGGGGGGGGGAAGCAGCAATGGTTTCTCTCGGAAACCAAGCCCGTCTGCGCAGTGCTTGAACGGTTTGAACTCTCTTTGAATCTCCTTTTTCTTCTCCTTCTTCTTCCCTGATTGTCGAACACTCGTCGTTATTTCTTCTTTTTCTTCTTTTTGAGTTTTCATTATTCTGGGCGTGCTGCAATCCAGCATCCTTTATTTGTTTTACGAATAAAAATTTGACTTCTGCACTCTGGAATCTCGATTTCTGCATCTCTATGCTCTGGACCTTATGAATGTATGCGCTTTTGATTAAGTGTTTAATTGTGTTATTATTCCAACCAGCAGGAAGATTTTTGGATGATGATGAATTTGTTTAATTTTAGTTAGTTATTTTCGCATAATCACGCTATTGAAAACTGTTTTGCGTCATTATATGTGCGTTGTTGATTTGTTGCTGAGATTTTAAACGGGAGCAGAATGAAAGAAGAGTGATTGAGAGAAGGTGAAATGTTGAGAGAAAAGAAAAAAGGTTGAAGGGAGAGGGGAAAATGGGGAGAAGATGTAAGGGGTATTTATAGAATGGAACAGAGAGTAGATAATACAGTTTTTTCAATGGCAATAAAGAAGCAGAGAGAGAGAGATCAGAAGAGGTCCCATATACATATATTTTCACCTGCGCCATAAGTGCTTCAAGTTAACTTCATGCATCATCGATCATCCCATCTGCATATATTTTAAGACCTTAAGAAAAGATCAGAGACAGTTAAAATTAAAGAAGAGTAGGTGTATTGTACGTGATGAAGCTAGCTAAGAAATGAAAGAAGTGTCGTGCATGTTGAAACTTGGGAGGAGTTGAGAAGTGGAACGATTATGGTCGTATTGATCGAGGGAGGGTTGGGTTGAAGGATTCCACCATTGTTGTAGCAGCTTGCCAGCTTCCCAAAGATGAGAGGTAGGCGGCCCCGCCTGAGGTAGAGGAGGAGAATCCCTGAGGATGAACCGCATTGTCTAGGTTGTGTTCGCTATAAAACCTTTGACACCATGTCATCGCCTTCTTTCTCGTCCTCGTCGTCTCCGAGGTGGTACTGGTGCATCACCCAGTTGGTTTTCTCCAGTTTCCTTTGCTTCCCGTAGTTTATGTACAGTACCAGTATTTTCTTGTACCCTTTCACCCTGCCTTTCGCCACCATCGACCTCGTCTTCCCGGTGAAGCAATTTTTTTAATTTTCCCGGAGAAACATTTTCTGCTTTTCCCTTCAGGCAACGAGATGAACTGTGTACGCGAAGGAAAAGGAAGCAAATAGCCCAATAACGTTCACTTTTTTAAAAAAAAATAAATATAAAATGGCCGTTTTGCCCCTATGAATAAAAAATTTAAAAACATTTACATTTTTCCAGAGACATTTGGCCGGTGATTTGGCCGGGTGGACCAAATGTGTTAAAAAATGCATAGTTATGGGACTAAACTATTGATTTTTGAAGTCGAGTACTGAAATTAACAAGACCTCAATAGTTACAGGACCAAAAGTGTAATTTTCTCTTTTTTACATTTTCAAATCGATAATTCAAGCAGAGCATCTTTTTCTCATGAGGGTCAGGCTAGTGGGAGTCGTGAAAATCGTGGCAAATCTCCTTCTTCTTTTGAACCTCCACGACATTCGGTTCATGGATTTTCAAAAGAATCTCCTTCTTTTGAACCTCCACGGCATTCATTTCAGGGATTTCAAACCGAATATCAATACCACGAATTTTTACAACAACAGACATACTACTAAAACTTAAATCCAAATCCTCAACTAGCTATAAATGAACATCATCATCCCTTCCAAACAATGCTACTTTTTTAGAATTTTCGCAAGGCCAGGACGATGAAGGCGAAGAAGTTCAACCTTCCAAACAAAAATCTTATCTTTTCATGGTACAAATGAAGATAGTTGAACATCTTGATGAAAGAATTATAATAAAATGTAATTATTACGATAGAGAGTACCAATGGTCAAAATCCGGTGGCTACGGGACATTCCGGAAGTATATAAGCACAAAGCATCCGGACATAGAGGTAAATACACAAACTCAACAACAAATTGGCAGGTACGCAACTAAACAAAGTTCTTTATTTTGTTACTTAGATTAGCAAACTAGACGCAAGTTTGCTGAAATGATTGCAATAGATGGTCTACCTTTTAGTTTTGGTCAAAAGTTGGGTTTTAAAGAATTTTATCGGGTGCATTAAATCCCCAAATGTGTGATTTACCTCGTACAACTACTACTCGTCATCTTTATAAATTATATAAGGAATAAGGTTCAAATTGGCCACTGAACGTAACCTGAAAATGCAATTAGGCCACTGAACGAAAAAAAAAAAAGTGCAATTAAGCCACTGAACACTCCAAAAATGTGCAATTTCACCTGATAGCAGGTTACCCTCAATTTTAGCAGGTTATCTGCTTACGTGGCAGCTGAGTTGGCATTTTTAATAAATTTTAAATTATTTTTAATAAATTTTAATAATAAATTTTTATTTAAAAAAATTTTAAAAAAATAAAAACGACTTTATTTTATTTTTTATTTAATTTTTTTCAATTTTTTATAAAATTTATTATTAAAATTAATTATTAAAAATTATTTAAAAATTATTAAAAATGCCAACTCAGCTGCCACGTAAGCAGGTAACCTACTAAAATTAATGGTAACCTGCTATCCGGTGAAATTGCATACGTTTGGAGAGTTCAATGGCCTAATTGCACGTTTTTGAAGTGTTCAGTGGTCTAATTGCACTTTTTGTTCGTTCAGTGGCCTAATTACATTTTCAGGTTACGTTCAGTGGCCAATTTGAACCTTATTCCATTATATAAAGATGAAAAAAAAATTGATTTCTCTTTTGGAATCACATTCTGGGCAGGTGACTATTTGTGCTGATATTTGGAGTGATCATTGGAGAGAATATTCATATTTGGGTGTTACATGTCATTGGGTAGATCATGAATGTGTGTTACATAAAAGAATTCTTATTTTTCGTTGTTTTGATGAATTACACACTGCACACAATATTTAGAGTAAGTTGCAAAGTATTTTTGATGAACAAAAAAAATTACTAACAAAATTTGTGTAGTTGGTTTTGATAATGCTTCTAATAATACTACTGCAATCCCTAAACTTAGAGAGTTATGTGTTCCATATTTTGGAGGTAAGTTTTTCCATCAAATATGTGTTTGTCATGTTTTAAATTTATGTGTTCAAGATGGTTTAAATTCACTTAGTAATAGTATTAAACCCATTAGAGATGTTGTTGTTTATTTGTGGAAACATCTAAATGCAAAAAAACAAAAAAAAAAACAAAACAAAAAAAAAAAAAAAAAAAACAAAACAAGAAACAAAAAACAAAATAGATATTGTAAAATAAATAAAATGCCTGTAAAAAAATTTCCTCGATATGTACCATCTTATTGGAATTGTATGTTTACTTTGCTCAGTAGTACTATTTATTACAAAGATTTGTTATGGTTTTTTTTTTTTTTTTTTTTGCAAATAATAGTGATATTCATTTATTTCCATAATATTGGGATACATGCACTAAAGTTTGTGATTTATTAAAAGAATTTAATGATGTTACCAATGCTTTGTCTGGCGTGTATTATCCGACAAAACATTTATTTTTAATTTATGCTGTAAATATTGTTGGCAAGCTCTTTGAATATCGTGATGATCCTATATTGCATGCTGCTATTTTATGCATGCAATCAAAAATTTTAGAATATTATAGACATATTCCTGTGATTTATTTAATTGCAATGTGTTTTGATCCTTGTTGTAAATTAGTAGGTTTAAATGCATTTTTACAAAATTATTATGAATGTTTACAATGATCCTGCGGACCCACAATATGTTAATATTAATACTGTCCATAATAAAATAAAAAATTTGTTTCATAGTATGTGTGAAGAATATTTACACGCTGGTCCTTTTTTGAACATTAGTACATCTTCCCGAAGTAGTTTGCAAAGCTCGCAATCAATTCAACGAAGTAGAGGCTTTAACCTGTTATCTAGAGCGGGTAAAAATCGTCGGACAAGTGGGACAAGTTCATTATCATCTCCAGCATTATCCGAGGCAGAAGTATATTTAAATACTGATTTTGTATTTATGGATAATGATAATGATAACTTTGATGTTTTGCCGTGGTGGAAAGACTATGAATTTTTTTTTCAAATTTCTATTATCATAAAACAAATTTTTGAAACTCATGCTTCTACTGTGATAGTAGAACAGGAATTTAGTTCAGGTGGAAACATGTTGGATGATACTCGTTCAAGGATGACGCCCCAATAAATTGAAGTTCAAGTTTGCACATCAGATTGGGGATTGGCAAAGCTTCAACAACAAGAAAGCGACAAATCAACCATCATCAACGATTTCTTTTCCGATGATGCAACCAATACTGCAACTGAAGGGGAGCAAACAGACTCTTAAAAAAGGTAAGAGAACAATGTGAGCTTTGATTCTTATTGAAGTTTCAATAATACGATACGTAAGCAATTTAATCTTGGTAAAATTAAGTGCAAGACCAAATTTTATTTTTTTTAGTTTAACATTAGAGTTTATATTTGTATACTTGTGAGAATGGTGATCAGAGAGCATTGGGACTGGTCAAGGCAATTCTTATGTCATTAATTCTTAGTCAATTCTTACGCCATTAATAGGCAATTCTTTGTCCTTTGTTTTCTTTGTTCTCCTAAGCATTAATGTCCTAAGAATTGCCTTAACCAACCCTAATGATCTCTAATCACCATTCTCACAAGGTCTTTGTCATTAACTTACAACTACTACTGAACTACGTGGACTTTGATACTTATTGAAGTTTCAGTAAGATACGTAGGCAACTTAATCTTTGTAAAATTCAATGCAAGCCTAAAATTATTATTAGTATTTTTAGTTTAACATTAAAGTTCATATTTGTATACTTAACTTTATATACATGTTATAAGTTTAAGTGAGATAGATTGCTTAAACTTACAACTACTACTCGTCATCTTTTAAAGAAACAAAAATATTACTCAACTTACGGCCTCACGCTTGTTACAACTTACAAGTTACAAACTTACAAAAAAAAAAAAAAAAAAAAAAATCACGGTTAGAACCGACGGTTCGAGGAACCAAAACCGGAACCTTGGTCACCCCTAGGTATGGCCCTATACTTTATCACATTTTTTCGCTGACGATTTGGTGTTTTTTGTTGAAGCTACGTAAGATCAAATCTAGACGATTAAAGAGTGCCTGGATAACTTCAGTTGGGCCTCTAGGCAGGAGGTTAGCCTCCACACAAGTCCCAAATTTATTTTTTTAAGGAGGTAATGTCTGAAGAATCTAAGGGAATTACAGACCTAGCTGAAATTCCTAGGTCTCATAACCTTGGGAGATACCTAGCTAAAATTCCTAGGTCCCATGACCTTGGAAGATACCTAGGCGTCCCTTCTATTCATGAGAGAATCACAAACAACATGTTCGGGGCCATTCTTGAAAGATTGGACACTAAACTTGAAGGCTGGAAATCCAAGCTACTCACCATGGTTGGTCGCCATGTTTTAACCCAGTCTACTTTGAGCACAATTCCCTACTACGCCATGCAATCGATGATGTTACCTGCAAGGGTTCTGGAAGCGATCGATAGGAAAGTGAGAGGCTTCTTGTGGGGTAACACGACTGAGAACCGGAGGTGCCACCTTGTGAATTGGGAATATGTTACAAAACCAAAAGAGCTGGGTAACATGGGGATTAAAACTGCCAAGAAAATGAACAAAGCTTTTATTGCTAAGCTTGGGTGGAGATTGCTGAATGAGAAGGACGAGAAGTTAGGAAAAATATTTTTGTGAAAAATTCATTCAGTAGGCATCTCTTAACTAAATCATTTCTGCTCCAGTAACAGTCCTTTTGTGTTCAGCATTCACAACTGGACTTTCAGCCTCATGGTATGAGAAGAACCCCTAAAGAAATAAAATAAAATGAGTTAGTACCCCTAGAATCAGCAATACTAAAATTACCTACATATCTTAAATAATAAGTTATCATCCTGGAAATCATCATCCATAAGTTCCAGCCTTGAAGTCAAATCTTTGTCCTTATCATCAAGAAGCCCACCTTATCCAACGGTGAGTAAATTTCAACGACTCGACCAATCACATATAAAAATAAA